TATACGATCATCCCAATCTGTTTCTAGTGACATTTTTGGACAAGGTTAATAGGGATGGGGCCCAATCCGAACGATCGAGTCGGGCATCGAGTTTTGGCTCGAAAAAGACTCGATGCCCAACTCCCGAAAAAAAACTCGGTAGGGCCGGCCCGATAAAAATAAGGCTCGAAAAAAATGGCTCGAACGTCGGCCCAACTCGGAAACCCCGACCTTAAAGGTTGGTGTTTTCCCACAACACTAAACAATCCCCAACTCTAAACAATTTTATTTCTTCAAGAAGGGCAGAATTGTCTCAATAAACACCCACTATAAACATTAATTGTGCCATAGACAAGTCCGTGATCTTTAGTTTTAACATGACAAGTCCATTGCCCTGCATGATCTACATAAACCTTTAAAAATTAAAACATGCTAGAGTTTTGAGTAAAAAGACAACAAACTTCAGTAATGTCAAGTGTTCCATTATAATTGCTTCCCTCACTAAAGTTGGCAACATGGGTTTTCCCATTGTGTGTAAAATCTTTTTTGTGAAAAATTTTTTTTTAATTTTTTAACTTGGTTCTTTTCCTTTATAATCCAAAAAAAATTTCCATCTATTCTAAAATTTTGTCCGCAAGTTATTTGCAGACAAGATTTAACTTGAGGACAAAATCTGCAGATTTTTTGGAGAATTTTAAAATTTTTCTGGGAGGCTTGAAGGAGAAAAAGAACTTTTTGATTTTTTAAAAATTTAATAATTTACAAATTTCTTCTGCAGGCAAAGCTGTAACAGGAGACCTTCTGTTACTGTTAGATATTTCCACTGCCTGACACCACAAAGTTAAAGGTGCATCAGTTTCTAGAAGGCCTTGTTGTTTCACTAACCCATTTTTTACCCAAAAAATTTAAAAATTTTCAAAAAAATTCTCAAAATTTTTTTTTACTAAAATTGTGACGCCCACAGATCCCTTAACTTTAACTTCACTTTTTTGTGACTGATTGGTTGTTGCCCTCTGTTTTTGTTGTTGAGAGGTAATTAGCGAAAGATTAATAATTACTATGGATAATAAAAAAGATGGAAATAACATCTTATTCTAAAATAATTTTGTTTAAGCAGTTGTGAAGAATTTAGAGGTAAATTTGCGGACTTTCGCGAGTAATTTTTTGCGGACTTTCCTTTGCTGAATTATTTTGGGGACTATTTTTGCAGGCTTTTTTCGTATTGGTCTTGAGTCTTGGAAAATATTTAGTCTTGAACGTCTTTATAAATTAAATTAATTATCTAAAAAATACAGAGGGAAAAGAATGCTGCTAGTCTTTGAGCTCCTTAAACACTACGGAATTTAGATAGCTTTAAAAAGCTACTAATAAATTGACATTATTTTGGGAAGGGAAACACGTGACTAATAAATTGTTATATGTATAATTATTAAGTTCAAAAATCGAGCTTTAACTTATTTACACGAGAAAGATTAGTTTTCGGTCAGAAGTTAGGTCTTGAGGGGCAGAGGTGGGTCAGAATTCCAATTTCCGGCGTTTTTTCCTTCTGATTTCAAAATAAATTTTTATTTCCGAGTACCGACTTTTGAGCCAGTTCAGATTTCCGGCTCTTCCGATTTCCGACACCTCTGACTGTTCCGACCCGCCTCTGCTGAGGGGTTCGGTGGGAACCCTGTACTATTCAAACTAATTATTGTGACTGGATTGGCCCTCAGCAATAATTACTTCCCTGTCCAAAGTGTTTCTAATTATAACCTTGAAATTTCTTTTATTTTTAAAAGTGGCTTGTGATATAAGCACGGCTTTTAGCCTTGTGATTTTTTAGATTTTAGAGAAAATAAATTTTTGGATTAGTTTAAAAAGACTAAATTAGCCAAATGGAGTGTATTAAAAAAAGAAAAAAAATGTTGAGGGAAGTAAAAAGCATTAAACTGCAAAAAGTGCTTTTAGGACATTAAAAGAAATGGAGATGGATTAAACTTTACAGAGCTTATAAAGTGATCGATCAAGAAAAAGTAAAGAAAAAGGGATTTTAAGGGGAGGTTTTTAGGTGCTTAATGGAGACATTTTGTTGTTGTTTTCAATTTTTTTAATACTTTTTTTGCTGTTAATGAAAGGAATGAAAGGATATGAAAAAACTTTAATGAAAGGATATGTCAAATAAATATGTAGCTATCAATCTCGTCGAATTGATAAAGAGTCATGCAAAGGTTTAGGTACCGGGTAACTAACATACCGTATTTCCTCTAAAATACCCCCACCCCCTCTAAAATAGCCCCCTCTAGAGGTTAATCGAAAAAATAGGCCCCGGGCTTATTTTAGAGGAAATACGGTAATTATGGCAATGAAGTAAAGTTATCTCCTCCTAAAAGCTTAGGAAGTCGGCTGGAAACATGGATGACCATAACTTTTTTTTAAATTGTCCAATTCTGATAATTTTTTGTTTATATCGAGTTTATTTTGAAATTTATTTTCTGAAATTAAAAATATAATTTTACATTCTTTCGAAAAAAAATTATGCCAAAATGCCGTGTTCTCAAATGTCGGGTACCCGAGAAAATAATTAAAATAAATATTTAATTAAAAGTCTGAATAAACACAGTTTTATTTTTACCCCTTTTCCCCTCTTTTAAAACAAAATACTACAAATAAAAATGTATGTTTAATGCCCTCTTACACTGTCAGATTTTATTTTAGCGCGGATATGCCAAGTGCCAAAGGCAGTAAAAAAAGGCGTGAAAAAAAAAGAACAACAATAAAGGCAAAAACAGTTGTGTGTGTGTGTACTCGATTCCCTCCCTTTCCTTTCTTTGAAAACATTTCCCTTTTGGGACTTAACTAATTCAATTGAGCTTTTTTTTAAAAAGAGCCGCGGAAAGGATAAAAAAATTGTTTAAGTGTGAGAAAAGTGAGAAGGATGGGGAAAAATAAACAGGAAAAGCTTGGGTAAAATAATAAATAAATATTAGTTTCGGATTTCCCAAGGGGTGATTTTAAGAGAAATTATTGGGATGAGTATTAATATTTTTGTAAATTCTGATAAACGGGTAATTAAATTGTTGCATGTCTATGAGATGCAAGAAACATGGAATAGACTGCTTAAAGGCACACGATTTTGGTATCCGTATCCGTATATTTACGGCGGATTCATGTGGATATCCGCAGACATTTTGGTATTATCTGTATCCATATCCGTATCCATGACCAGGTCTGGGCAGGCACATAAAATATTTGTATTTTTATATATAAAATATGTATTTATATAAATATGTATATATTTATATAAATATGTAAAATATGTATTTAATATAAAATATGTATTTTTACTTTTGGTAAAAATACATATGCAAAAATATTGAAATAATTTGAAAAAAGGGCTAAATACATATTGAAATAATCGGGAAATCTGCAAAATATTGAAATATATTGAAATGTAACTTCGTTCAAAATCATAATATCGAAAAAATAATGCATATTTAGTGAGTTTCACCGGAAGTTCCGGTTCCGGTCCGGAAAGTTCCGGTGTTTTTTGGTTCCGGTTCTGAGAACCTGAACTCAAATTGTATCCGGTTCCGGTTCCGGTCAAAATTTCGGTTCCGGTGAAACACTAATATTCGGGTATATTCAGGAAAAAAAATATTTCAATACAACTCTGATCCCCATACATAATAAAAATAAACGTTTAATTTTTAAAGTTTAAAAATTTTTGAAGGAGTTTTTGATTTCTTAATTTTTTCATTTTAATTTTCTTCATTTTTGTTTCTTCTTCAATCACATTTAATTCGGGATTTGGTTTCCATTTGGGGTTTTCATTCTTCTCTTCAGACTTTTCTTCTACTAACCAATCTTCTAATTTAATATCATTTTCACTTTTTGTGTTTATCTTAATTTCAAACGCCCCAAATTTGAATTCTATTCCAGCTGAATTTAAAACATCTCTTGACTTTGGCAACACATAATAAACACAAAATGGATATAACTTTTGTAGTTGCCCTCCAAATGAGTGTTTTAACGTAGCACAAAAGTGAAGTATGTGTAGAAATTTTGTAACTGTCTCAAAATCTTTTTCCGCTTTCTTAAAATGTACTAATTTTGTTTGATTATTATTTTATTAATAAAATTATATAATAAAAAAATAGAAGCGCGGGAACTTGCAGGGAGAAGTAAGCTTTATTCAATTTGATATGATTTATGCTAGGCTCTGAATGATTCAAGAAAAACTTATTAAACTTTTGATGATTTATAATAGTATTCTGCTTAAAATGTTTTTGAACAAGTTGAGTTGTTTCAAATGCTTACGCCTGAACTGAGGCATACTTCCTAAATGAGTATGCCTTAATGTAATGGATAACAAATCTAAATTTAAGTTAAGGCCCAGTCTTATTCCATTTTTTTGCCTTTGAGGCCAGAATCTCCCCATCCATGGAAATTATGAGATAAAGTTGGGTTTATGTCTTTTAGAGTAAACCGTTCCATTCACATATTTAATTAAAATATTTAATTCTAAATTAAAAACCAAATTATCAAGCATTTTGTAAAATTCCTTATTTGCATCCTTAATATCAGCGTCTTTATATATAGTAAATTGATCTATCAATTCTTTTATTTTTCCTTGTTGATCAACTTGTTTGAAACTATCCTCCTTTACCTTTTTGTTTAAATTCTTCAATTTAATTATCAAATTACTTTTTTCAGTTTCATTTTCAAATAAATTATATACTAAACTAATGAAATTGTTAGAATTTGTTTCAGTAGAGCATAAAATTTTGAAATAAATATCAAAATCTTGAGCAATATTTTCATTTTCTTTTTTAATTGAAGTAAATATTTCTTCTATTTTGTCTTGTGGAAATGCTAAAAATTTAATTTTTAATTAGGGCTATTAGTTAGGGTTGGTATCACTAGAGATGCAGCCGATGTTTATAGGCTATGACCTCTTGTCTTGCTCGAATCCGGTGGAAGAAGTTTACAACTAAATGGAAGAAGTTTGATAGTTATTGATAGTTACACCTTATAAGCAGAGAGTTTATTAAGGGTTTTAACTATTTTTTTGCAAATTATTCATAATGAGATAAGCACAAAAAACACTCTTTTGGGTCGAAATAATGAGTTTATATTGGACCTATTCGAAGACAATTGAGCCCCATCTCGGATTCGAAAATACAAGGAATAATTGCCTTAGCTTGCTTTACCACCGCTTTACCACCTAAACAATCTAAATTCACAGAAATAAAGTTTTAGTAAATTAACAAACCACAAGGAATTGGTTGTTTTTTAAAACAAATTTTTGGAGAATTTGTTTGCAGGTCCGCAAGTCTTTTTCTCATTTCTTCCAGGCTTATTTGATCCTTTTTTAAATTATTTTTATTTGAAGTATTATGAACTTTTCCTAAGGTTGATCGTTGATACTCTCGTTCGTTATCTTGTCTTTTAATTTTATGACGAGTTTTTCTTTCGGATGATTTAATTTCCCTTAAAGTTTTAATTGAATGTATTATCCTTGCGTTGGTTTTACAGGAGGTTCCTTTCTTTAAATTTGTATAAACTTTTTTCATAGGTGTTTTGACAAAATTATTTTCATCAACTCGAGTTGTATTAAGGGTGTATATGTTGCAAAAAATTAATAAAAATATAAAAATATTCATCGAAAATATGTTAGTTTCGAGAAAACCTAAAATTTCTAATTCAATATGTAAATTAAGAGATAAGTTTTTGGAAATCTTTAAATATCCTCTTACTTTTCTCTTTACATTGAGGGTTTATGCATCATAGAACCTCAAGGCATTTTTTGACCTTCGCCTTCGCTCAGCTGCTTTACACCTTAACTTTTAAAATCTTAAACTTCTGGCTAGATAGATCTTCCATCCCCATAAACAGAATTGGCGAAATCGAAAAATTCTGTAACGGAACTGAGTTTCAAACATACTAGTTGTGAGCGAGACCGAGGGACTAAACCTTTATAAATTATTAAAATAAAATTAATTTAAAAGATTTTCTTTATAAATTTTTATTAATTTACAAATAGAATTTTTATTTTTTAATTATTTCCATTTAACGAGGAAGGAAGAGGAAGTAAAATTTAATAATTTAATTGCCAATCAGGAAGCATGACCTTCGAGAAAAACCTTCGATTTTTCTTCATTGCCATTGTAATTTAGACAATGGCAAGCAAGTAAGCGGAAATAGCGTCTTTCAAATAAAAAATTGATTTAAATTTAATAAATTTTAATAACTTTAATTAATAACTTTAATTTAATAAATTTTAAATTTTAATAAATTTTAATAAATTTTAATTTAATAACCCTGCTTCAAAGGGGAGTATTATGTATTGAAAGGGTAGTTCTAATTCAAGGGGAATTACTAATTTAGAAAATATCGTAAGTAATTTTAAAATAATGTCGTTGACGAAATTGAAGATTTAGAGATTTACATATTATTTTTTTGATATTTTTTGAGGAATTTTTTTTATTTTTTGTGTGGTGACTCAGTGAGTCACTTTCCATTTTTGACAATTTTTTGTGTATTTTTTGCAATATACTTTACATTGCATCATTTTTATTATTGTTATTTCTGCCTATAAAAGACAGGCAGAAATTTCACTTTTCAATGTTTCAAATTTCACTTTTCAATGTTTCACTTTCAATGCATTTCTTTATAAATATCTGTGGTATATTTGGAGATAAAGATTTTAGTTGTATTATTGTGTTTATTTCTTTATCTAGGTTAACTATTCTGTGTGAATAATTAATTCTGAGATATTTTTAATTCCTTATTAAAGAATAGGAAGGTAAAATAGTTTTACTAAGAAAGAGGAAAGTATTTTACAAATAAATTTATAGAAAAATTTTTCAAAGATAATATTTAATCACTTTTATTCAATGCTTTTTCAAGAAAGTCTGATGATTTATAGTAAGTTAAATCCATTGAATAATATTTACGTTGATGAGAGAGCATTAACTTTAAAGCATATTCATTTTCAATACATCGACTAATTAGTCGACTACATTCGGCCAATCTTTGAGCCCCTTCAATTAAACCTAATCTTTGTTGATTATATCGAAGTAAAATATTTGTGTATTTATGATATTCGTTTAAAAGTAATTCCTTTCCTTCTGCAGACAAGTCTTTAGAATCTTTTTTGAAAACATGTGAGTATGAAAGTGTGAAAAAATAGCTCAAAATTGCAGATTTTTAAAAATTCTAGATCCGAGCCATGATTTATACCAGGGTTCGACCTTTCGGAGTGGGGGCTAGTTGTACAGGGAACGGGGGTTGCGGGGAATTCGGTTTCAGAGAACTGGAGGTCCCCCGTTTTTCGGAGCCGCCCCATGATGGTAGAATATTGGCATTCCATAATTTCGGGAGTTTCAGCGGAGAATAGTGGTCAATACCTCAACTGATATGTCAATAAATAGTGAAATACCTAGTGTAAATTTTCCCATTCCTTGCGGGAGGAGTGTCACGGGGACGGGGTATGCGCGGAATTTGAACTGCGGGGACGGAGAACGGGGGCTCTGGGGGGAGACCTCCCCTCGTTCCCCGGGTAATTCCCTTACCTGGGACGGGACCCTGATTTAACTATAACCGGGCAAGCAATTTTGAGTTCGCCTTTACAAATAAAAGTTTACCCGCTTTCGTAAGGATAATAGCTAACAATAAAGCATATTCGATTTTTGTTAATGCTAAACGTTTGAAGTGAGCAACAGATTTTGTATATACATAATCTGACCATTTAATCATTCTAAAGATTAAAAAAATATTTTTATGATTTTTATATTTACCGATGATCATGTAGAAATACATCATTTTTTATAACACCGAGAGCTGGCATAACATTATCTTTACGTGTCCAAGTTTCAGAGCCTAATTCTGAAGCTAGGTAAGAGCCAGTAAATGATATAAACACATAAGAGATATGTCTTAGAAGTGCAATCTATTTTATAAAAATAGAAAAATTTTATATTATAGGTATGTTGTATGTATAATTTTATAAGGATCATTAAGCTTGAAGCATTTTGCTTTACATTAGAACTCGAATGGTGTGTCGGTCGATTTTAAGAGTTTAAGATTAAATATGGATGGATTAAAGGGAATATCAGAGGACTTATACGGAGATCGATGGATCAAGAGGGATATCATTAGTTATTGAGAAATATAATTGGATTTTAAGGGATTAAAGGGGATATCGGAGGTAATATAGATTATATATACCTGATCAGATAAGGTCAATTTTTCAAAAACGGGCATAGATTTAGCTATGCCAACAAGCAAAAGTCTGTCGACAAGAATAGCTTTTTGACATCTACTATTAAATATTCCTTCATTTTGTATTGAAGATTCCCAACTTTTTAATTCATTAAAAGGTATTGGAATTGGATTTGGCTTTAAATCAAATTTTTGTTAAAAATAAAATTAAAATTTACCGAAAAATTATCAACTAAACGAAAAATATTAAAATTAGATAAAATTATTTCTTCAAACAAAATCGGGCCTTTAAGGAATATATCATCCAAATCATTAAATGCATGCATAATACGTTTTTTGGCTTCAATTATTGGTAAAATTGAGTTTATTAGTTTTTGGTCTTTGATTGTTGTGTCGACAATTGTAGGATTTGAAGGCTTAAAAAGTAGAGAGTAGTTCAGTATATCTATTTAAGAATATTAAACAATTTAGGTTTGTTTAAGCGGGTTTGAACGAATTGGCTGCTCAAGCCTCTTATGTACATATAGTATTTTTCTTTTATTTTTGTTAATGAAAAGGAACCAATAAAGTTTTAGAGAAATAAGTGCTTTCAGCAAATTAGAAATCAAAATTTATACATCCTATAAGGTATCGAAGATAACTTTTAAAGGGCAATAACCATGGTTTTCCGTTGGTTTCGGACACAAGTATTATAATATTTTTTTCTATTGCAAACGTATTTGCATTTTAATCAAATCATTTGAAGAGTTCAGGGATGGATAATTTTGGATTTTAAAAAGCGGAAGAAAAATCGATTTTTGGTAGTGTTGTCTTATAATCATTAACATAGTACCTAAGCCTCATCAACAAAATTAAACGGATTTATTGTCCTATAAGGTATCGAAAATAACTTTAGCAGGACAATAATCCTGGTTTTCCGTGGAAACAAAATTAAACGGATATCTTATTGAGAAAAATAAGAATCTACAGTAAGTTTTCCCGATCAAAAATAAATTTACGTTAATTTCATTTCTTTGTACTTCCATTGCTTCCCGGCATATATCTCGGCGTAAATATCCAACATCTAAAATTCTTTTTCAAATTATTTTTAAATATTATTTGACAAACCCAATTTTTTCATTCCAACAGAAAAACATTTATCAAGTCTACATTTTTTACATTTTTCCCAATTTCTTTCAATTTTCTTCTCTTTTAACAACAACAATTGTTTATGCAAACAATTACATTTACTATATTTACTCTTTTTTTCGTTTTCTAGATAACGCCTTTTGAGAAAAAATTTCCAAATTAAACAAAATAAAAAATACCTGAAAAAAGCCCCACAAGCCCTACATGTACTTACTCCATAATGAAAACAAACATTTTCTCTACACTCACAAACTGAGCATTTTTTATTCAAATTTCTTTCCATTTTTAAAATTATATTAGTATTTTTCTAAATTAAAATAAAATGTAAATAACCGAAAAGTACTTTCACCATGCTTAATTATACTGACAAAAAATTGTCATTTATTAAGTAAATATTGTTGGGTACCTGCCTGTAAATCTTTATTTTTCAAAAATATTAATATTTAATGTGGACGCTAGGGATATTTATAAACTATTTATTTTTTTTAATCCTGTAATTAAAAATAATTTTTTTAAAAGTAATTTAGAGACAATGTAAAATAATTACATATTTAAAAACTATGTATTATCTTTTAAATTATCTTTATGGCAAAATTGTTGACATATTAAAATGTAAAAAAATTATGAGTAAAAATTAAAATTAAAAAATCTACTCAGTATTAATGGGAATGTTGGAAGAAAAATTATAGAATTTTTGGCCGAACAAAAGTTGATATATCTATCTTGAGTCTAACTTTTTTTACGTGACTGTATATATGAGAATAATTTTATTTTAATAGAGAATATTTAATTTAATTTTCTATAAAAATTATCAGCTAAACAAATAAATTTTCTAAAAAGATATTAGAAAATTAAATACCCAACTTTTATTTTTAAGCCATGGTTCTATTTTGTGAGCCACCAACTTTTTAGATTAAAACCATGCGTGCGTACCAATACTTCAATAATGTCAATAGATTCACGGTATCTACAAAAAATTGGGGTAATTCTTTGGTTTAGACTAGAGTTGGGCAAAACAATATGGTATCGGCCAACCCGAGACCGAGATTGACTGATACTCAAGAACCCGATCCGAGACCGATACCATCATTTTAAGCCGAGACCGATACCGAGAAACGATACTGACCGAGACTAACAGAAATTTTTATTTTACGTCAAAAATACGTGTAAAAATAATTTATTCGTTATTTTCATCATCTAAATCATCAGATAAATATTCTTCATCATCTGGATCTGATTCAATTGATGGTGCCAAATAAATTTTATCCATATTTGCCTTCACTACCAATATTTTTTCAAGTGTTACACCAGAAAGTCTAAATTTTTATTTTAAACAAAATGTTCTATTTATAAAAATGAAACCGATTTCGAAGTTTATTGCCAATGATCATACCGGCCTTTGAAAACAACCTCTCAGAGCAAACTGAAGTTGCGGGAATAGAAAGTAATTTACGCGCAACATTTTCTAAATCATGGATTGCGCAATTTCGTTATCTTAATTATATATTATAAATTTAAGCTTATTATATTAAAATAAATACACTTCATTATCTCAAAATAACTTCAAATTATTCATTTATTAATTATATTAAAGGAGAAATGAACTTATTCAAATGTATATTATTTAAATATTTAAATGTTACGGTCAGATCTTCATTAATTAATTTAACTTCCTTTTTGACATTATATATTTTTGATAAAATATTTCCCTTAACAGTAGAATTTTTACGTTTAAAGGTTTTATTATAAATTTTTATATTTTAGTTTGTTATTAATACTTGAGTAGTTTCTAAATTCATTTTTTGCATTTGAACAACACAAGTGTCTTTATTCTTTTAATTTTACCCCATTATTATTCTTTAATTTATTCTTTTTACTATTTTTTAACATAAATGATCCATTAAGAGTGCTTAATTGTTTAATTGTTCTATCATCTATTTCTTTTCTTATACCACGTTTTATGACCTTTAAATATCTTTTATAACTAATCGTTAAAAATTACTTATTATTAAATTATTATTATTTATTATTGAATAGTAATTAATAATCATTAAAATATATATGTAGTACTATATATAGACCATATCATTAGACCATATTAACATAACCAATTATTTCATGTATATCGTGATTTTATGCTTCTTCTAAAGCCATGAGGGCATTGTTTTCTACATAGCAATTGTCTAAAGACCGACGAATTGCTCTCATTTCAATTTTAATTTACTCTAATTCGTTCATTTCAAAAATTTTAGAATTAAATAACTAAAATATAATTAATATATTTTTTGATTTACTTGTTAAAATATTTATTTAATATTTTATTTAAAAATTTTTTATAAAGTATTTAATATTTTTTTTTTAAATTTTTTATATTAAATTATGTAACATTGAAAGTACAATGGTTTTACCGTTAAATTAATATATTTTTTTCCCAAAAACAAATAATTTATTAAATTTTTCCTTTTTTAACACTATTTACGGATAAAAGTAGTGGAATTTCACTGTTGAAGAATTGACGAAAATAGTTGAAATTTTGTTGCTCAGAAGTTCAGTAAAGAATAGATGGAAGTAGTGAATTAAAATTAGTGAATTAAAATTTTTAAATTTTAAAAATGCCACATGGGATCCTCAAATAAAGCTACCTGTATAAATTAACGATAATATAAATTTAAAAACTAAATCTTTTTTAAAAAATTTCCTCTAATATTTTTTCAAATAAGAATTACTTTTTTGATTTTTTTCAATTTTAAAAAGAATATTTTAAAATATCTTTATTTTTCTTTAAGAATTTCCATTTTTTCCGAAACAGACAAGAGATTGGTGAAATATTATTGGGTTTTATAAAAATTTAGCGTAGTGGTTGTTACGAACCGTTCAAAAACTTCTCTTATAATTATTAAAATATAAATGTAAAATTCAGTGTTTTAAATATTTAATTGATGAAGATATTTTTTTATTAATTTTTAAATTGAAAAAAATATATTTTATTTAAAGTAAATTAATCAATTTTAATTTTTTAACTGAATTTTATTATTAAAAAAATATATCTAAAGAAAAGTGGTCCAGAAACTGAAATATCAAACGATCACCACTTTTTCTTTTACTTAAACAGTAAACAAAATTCAATTTTTAAAATTAAAAGAAAAATATTTATTTTTATTAAAAACAAAATTTTTATTTTTTAAAGAAATTATAGATGTATGAATGAATAAAGAAAATCTTTTTGTAAGGACAGAAAAAAGCGGGTGTCAACATCCTTTATTTTTCTATAAAAATTCTTATAAGACGCGCGAACAATTTGGGACATCTGGCACAAAACAATAAAAAATAAAATTTTAAAAACACAATAATATTTAATAATATTACTGTATTTTAAATTTAATAAATTAAATAATATTATTTAAAAAATGAATTTTTTACATATCTATTTCATATATTCTCTCAAACGTGTTAATTTCCTCGTATAAATTTCATTATTTTTTCATTGTTTTTAAAAATTATTTTTTAATATGCGAATTATTAAAAGTCTCGCTATCATTAAAAGGCTCTCTCCTCCGTGTAATTCTAAAAAATTTTTAGGAAAATTTTAAAATTTATTTCCTTGTACAAATTGAGAATTTCATCTTCGACTGTGATAAACAAATAAAAATATAGGAAAATACACGTCGATAATAATTTTTTAGTTAAAATATACTGCTAAAATTTCCTTTTCCTCTAATATTGGACAAGAAAAATTTTTATTTTATTAATTTTATAAATTTAAATGTATATTATCGTCTGGTAGCACCAATATAAAGTCAGTCCTATCTTATGTTTAATTTTAAATTTAGTATTTATTCATTTAATAATAAAGTGAAATACTTATTATCTATTTTTCGCATCATGTTTATATTTTAAAAGGATAAATATTAATTTTTTATATGAAATACAAATTTTATACAAAGTTTAGATTTTAAATCAAAAATTCGAAAGGAAACTAGAAGTGAAACTTACAGTGAAAATTGAAGTGAAACTTCTTTTAATTTCAAAATTCAAATTACATTTTAAGTATTTCTGGTTTTTTACTTAATCATTTCTGGTTTAAGCATCTTCGATTATAATTTTAATTTAAAATTTATTATTTAATTAATGGAAATAAATTATTTATTTCATTAGATTATTTACTATGTTATTTAATTCTTAGCTATGTTATTTTATTTTTATGTCATTTTTAAATTTGCATGGCAGATTTTTGGATATTTATCTTCTTTAGCATCAAATGTAAATATGCTTCAAATAATCTTTATTTAACCACTTTTATATAAAAATACTTTTAGAAATTTATTAATTAAATTAGAATATCTGCACAGAAGGACCATATTATACCCGAGTAATTACGCTTTATTAAATAATTTCTGTAGATATAAAACTTTTTAAAAATTATTTATGAAATTACAAATTTTTAAAAAAGTATTTGATTCCATAATTATTTGCTTTGATCAATTTAGGTAATTATGTATACTTTTTGTTTAAATAAGCAGTTAAACGTAGTTTAAGAGTTTATATACATAAAGTAATTTTACATTGCTGATTATTATCAAATATAAGTGTAACAACTTTTATAATAAATTATATCATTTTTAACAATTTTTTCAATTTTGATTACTTATTTTAGCTAGCTCATATATATTTTTTGATTTACTTGTTGAAATTTTTATTTAATTTTTTGTATTAAATGAACTTTGAAATTAGCCTCCGCCTGCCAAAGTATAATTATCGTCAACTTTAATTTGACAAAGTAAAAGTTTAAATTAAAAATTTTATATAAACTTTGAAAACTTTGAAAAATAAAACTATAAAAATTTTTATAATTTATATTGTTATTTTTTTTTGATTGTGAAATTTATAAATATACGGTATAATCCATAAATTATTATTTTAAATAGGTATTTACTTTTATAATGAATATTTGAAGTATACATATACGTTTTAAAAGATGCCTGAGCTTTGATCAAATTTTAATATTCTTTCAAAAATATATATTCACTATAATTATACTATTATTAACTATCAATTAAGAGAGTTATAATTAATTCTCCCTTATTGTTAGGACTCACAGTATCTAATAAGTTAACATATAATGATTAAAATCATCAAATTTTTTAAAATAAATGTAATTAAAGTTAATTTGTTATATTTGTTGTCGCTGGCCAGCAACTATAAATGTCGAACACTTCATCCACTTCATCAATTATTTAATAATATAATATTTGAGTTGTGATAGATAGAAGTATCGTTCTCTTC